GATGGAAACAGAAACAGAAGAGAGGAGAAGGGAGAGGAAGGGAGGGAAGGGAAGGAGAAGAGAGAGGGAAGGAGGGGAGGGGAAGGAAAGAGGGGAGGCTGGAGCAGAAGGAAGGGGGAAGAGGACAAGGAGGAGGGGGGAGGAGGGAAGGGAGAGGGAATGGGGAATATACTTACTTCAAGAATTTAACTGCTGACCAAGACAAGAGACTGTTTCCCTAGCTAGAAAATGCTACCTCATCGGGTTAAAAGAAAAAACTAATATGTCAGAAATAGAAAAAGCTATAATGAGTTATTCTCCTGAATTAAGAATGCCATTGTAATAAACAGAGCCAAAAAGAAAAATAAAGTTAGAGAACATTAAGACAAAACTTATTCTAAAACGACCAGGTGTTCAGAGAAACATCTACTTTGAAGAGGCATTAAAAGCATTGTCCTGAGAGGCAGGTATGGTGGTACACACCTTTAGTCCCAGTACTCAGGAGGCAGGGGCAGAAGCAGGCAAATCTCTATGAGAACGAGACCAGTCTGGTCTACATAGCAAGTTCTAGGCCATCTGGGACTGGAACTACTGGAAACCCAGAAACCCTGCCTCAAAAAGATTTTTAAAAACATCATTGTCCATCTATCAAATCTTTCTTAATTAACTTACCACAAACAATTGGATATAATATGACCACAGGAAGTCAAGCATGGATGATACATACTAAACAAAGTGTAGCAAGCAGACAGCAGTTATAAATCCATTCATCCTTGGAAAGGTCACAGTGAATTAAAATTTTGTATGCACTAGAGGAATTTATTACTTAAACATGAAGTTAAATTCCTCAAAGCCCAGAACTGGATATAAAACCCAGTTCTCCGGTTTGTCTGGTTTGTAAATCCAGTATTAGATAAAGTAAAGCAATTCACAGAAGAAAAATAAATGGCTACTGTACATTTGGGGAAAAAAAAATGTTTAACCTCACCAATTACCCAGGAGATAGACACTGAAAGCGAGGCCCTTATCTGTCCTCTATGAGGCTGGCAAAAATGAAGCAGGTTTCTGTCAACCAACCTCTCCACTCAGAGCTTGAAGGCAAAGAGGCAAGTTTTACATTACTACTGAACTATAAATTGGAGCCCTTTTGGAGAACAACTATGAAGGACTCATTAAAATTTAAAATGTACACATACGCATTTCTAGGTTATCTATTATAGAAATGTGTGTACCGGTGCCCAGAGATGTTCTCTATCGTGGTATCATTAAGAACGTAGCCACTGAAATACCCATCAGTAGAGACAAGTGTGAGTAAGTCAGACACAGCCACACATGGAGAATGGAGAGGCCGGTACTGCTGAGGGGGAAAAAAGTAGTTGCACAAATGATATAAAATTTTGATTTCTTTTTAAAAACTAAGTATGTACAAAAAATGAATGGATGTTTTAAAAAGAACTCATCCTGAGGGGGAGAGAAAAGTATATATTATTTCACTTCTTAAATTTTTTTATGAGCATCACTTTTAAAAATGAAATCAAGTCAAAGGGAGCTATAAGGATATGAGACTTAACCTGCTAATCCACTGGAAGGTCAACAGATATGCAGGAAATCACATAGAAACTCCTTGCAACCTGGAGCCATGGCCACTCTGTGACTTCACCAATAAAACCCACTCTGAGGACTGGGCTGAGACAGACCCACACAGCTCTGAATCATTTTCATGAAGAAAACGATACAGTATTAAAACTACATACCTACTTTCTCCTGGACAAGTAATACTTGAGGAAACTCAGAAAATATTTTTCTTAGGTTTCCATAGGTACACACCCAAACCAAAGCCATCGTCAAAATAACAGACTCAGATCTCATTTGTGTCCTTCAACTTTTTAAAATCAACATTCAAATTTAGACCTAAATGTAACCTATAAAGTCTAGTCCCACAAATTTGAGAATTAGAAAAGTGAATGTTTTCCATAGACATTGGTCCAACACGCTTTTCCCTTCTATTCTCTTCTTAAAAGGAATATCCATCCATTTCCAAATAGGGCTCTTAAAATGATTCATTCAATCATGGTTTTAAGCACATCACTATATTAAGAAAGACAGACTATTAATGATCACTATATCCTAAAATGGCCCCTCTCGAATACAGAATCATAGTCACAAATTAGAAGTATTAAAAAAGATAACTTACTAATAACAATTTTACTTGTAAAACGAAGTATACATAGTGCCTCTCTCTAATGCACTTAGTATTAAACAGTGTTAGGACAATATTTTCCAGGCTAGAATGTACTTTCCACTTGCCCTAATAATAAACCTATGCCCAGATGGGAAATGTAACCAGAACTAAATAAACATACTATAGATGGTGAGCAGGCAGGCCTGAAAGGTGAGCTAAGGATCCTGGGATGCCCTCACAAGCTATAAAGGGGTCATTTAGCTAACTCCACAGATAAGAATGGGAATATGAAAAGTTCAGTATTTGATGTCTGCACAATGCAAGCATAGAGCAGAGAAAAAAAACAGTGGATTCTCTAACAGAGAGCATGCACGCTGTCATATACTTAAGCTGAAAGCCAGCACACAGTCATACTAGGGCCATCAGTCCCTCTGACTGACAGCATTAAAAGAAGTTGAAAACATGCATACTTGTTCTAAGTGACAATCGGCAATCTAAACAAAACCTTGCTAGAGTGACGTATGAGCTAAAATGATTTGCCTTGAGTACCCAATACATAGGTAAAGAAGATGAGGAACAAAAACAGAGGAAGAATGAGAAAGAGATGCCTCGCACATACAAAGTGATTCCTTTTTTTCTAAACACCCACATGAAGACAGCAGTTTCTGACAAGAATGTTCTCAGCAAAAAATAAAATTACAGGAAGGGTTTTGCTTTTATTTTTTTCAACAAGAAGAAGGCAATTCTGTGTGCAGATTACTAGGCAATACCACGTGATTTTTTTTTAAGGCCGAAACTTACATCATTTGTATTTTGAAAATATTATCTAAATAGCATCTTTTGGATCACAAAGCATGGAGAGCAGCACAGTCCCTGTACGCAATGCTTAGTTCTGGACATACTTGAATATGAAGCCCACCGAGGTCGCTTACCTTGGCACTGGAAGCCTTGTTTCCCAAACCCCCTGAAAAACAGAAACAAGAACAAATATCTTAGCATCTGTTGCACTGAGACCACACTGTAAACAAGTTATATCACCAAGTAGTCTACAGAGCTAAAAACCTTTGTATGTAAAACCCAGTGGTTTGATAAAAAACATGCCTAAGTATGTAGTTCAATGACTGTGCAAGTTCAACTGTAACAGAAAAAAAAAAAATCAATCTGTCTATATAGTGCCCCTGACTTATTTCAACATCCCAAGCTTCTATCCAATCTTTTCCACTCTGTGATTAGAACTCAAGTTTCAAAACAAGAACATGACTGCAGATTCAAAGTCGTTGGCTACAGTAATCAAATAACAAAAAAGGACCTTCTGGTTTTAAAAACAATAAAAAAGGAAGTAGCTTAATTTAATTCCTAAAAAACATTTTTTTTCTCCCCAAGACAACTAAAAAGTAGCTTGTGAGCTTATTTAAAATATTGTGTCAAAAAAAGTAATTTCTAAAATTAAAAAAAAGTAATTTCTAAATTAAAAAAAAAAAAAACTGTGTGGTGTGTCACCGGGCATGGTGGCACACGCCTTTAGTCTCAGCACTTGGGAGACAGAGGCAGGCAGATTTCTATGAGTTCAAGGCCAGCTTGGACTACATAGTGAGTTCTAGGTCAGCTGGGAGCTACAGGGAGACCCTGTCTCAAAAAGATAGAAAAAAAAATTATACGTCTAGAAATCGCCAAATAGCAGTACTGTTTACATTTAATTTTGGCTTAAGGAACCGGATTTGATGAAACATGACTGTTGCTTGCCTTTGAGATTATCAAGATCTAATTTTTATTGAGAGCCAATAGCATTCAAAGCACATACAGAGTCTGTTTTGTTCTTGTAATGATTTTAGAGACTATACTCTATAAGCAGAGAACCCTGATATTTGATTGCAAATACTGTGCAACGAAACAAAATGCATCCAAATTTTCTGGACACTTGTCATAATCTCTTGCTTTGCATAACATTTTAAATTTACAAAGTTCTCCTCATACCTTTATAATATCTTAAAAGTCATCCCCCCAAAAAACGCTAAATCCAAATAGTTAGCTTCAAATTATCAGTGCTTAAATATTGAAATAAAATTGCAAATCAAAGACTCATAGAAGCTATAATGAAAGAAAACAAGAGAAATTAAATCTACTCTAAGACAGTCTTGGTGGGGGCAGAGAGAGTTCCCTAGACTTTCAACTAACTGTGCTTTCAGATTAAGCGAAGGGCTTGCTGCTGGGATTGCTCAGGGAGGGGGAGAGAAGTCTTTATTTCAATATCACAGTGTGCCTGGTGATCTGAATGCCTCATAGATTCATCAATGATCGTCTGGTCAGTGATGGTGGAGATACAGTAGTTAGGCTCAGTAATGTTCTCTGTCCTTTTTCTAACTTACCTACTTCCCACAGAAGTAATCATCAGTCTATCCCCTTGGAACAGAATCTCAGAGTTTACATGGGAGGATGCAAAGTGCCCCTTAAACACAATATCCTGTTTGCCCTGATGCTCCAAAACTCATTTTAAATAGCCTTATCTACAATTACCCACTCCTTGAGCACAATTGCTTCAAATGCTGACTACACAGTGCAAACTGTTCATAAAGGCTGTGCTGTTCATGAAAGTATACTTTTGAGCAGGTATCTAAAAGGGAAAGGAAAAATCAAGCAGTTTATTAGCATCCTGTTCATGGGCTATCCTTTTGAGATGCCCTTCTCAGGATGGGAAGGGGCCAGACAGAATCATCCATTCCTCCATTCTACTCTCAATACCCCGAGATGTATATGCCACACTGCTGGGGGGCAAGGGCAGGGTACACACTATGTAGCACAGTCACCTCCATGTAGGTCCCCAGTCAGGGGAGGAGAGATCTAAAGAGTCCTTGCCACAGCTCTGACTTGTAAGGAACTTTTTATCCCAGAAACATAAGAAGAGTTGGGGTGTCCCAAGAGAGAAAATGAAACTGCTACTCAAAAGTGAGGGGACTGAAGCTCCCTTAGTTTCAGATTTCTAAACTTCGGGAGGGTATTTCTTGGGGGGCGGGGGTTGACCATTTGAAAAATCAGATGAAAGCTATAATTCGCTCAACAGGAAAAAAATTAATGGCCCACACACAATTTCACCTGATTTTGTAGGCTCCAGAGACCCTTGAACCCTTCCATTTAATCAAGTCCCTCAGTTAACCATGCTGGCGTTCTCTGGAAACCATCTGAACTCGGACACCTTTAGCCATTACAGTATTTTTCTTAAATAAGGCCTCTGTCCTCATCAACAGGGTTACAGGTTTAATCTCCTGTTGACAGGGTCTATTTTAAATGACTCCCTCTGCCCTCTGCCATTTGCACGCTGGGTTAGCCCTCCCTCCCCCACTGCAAGCTTTCAACAGTTTGCTGCCGCGCATCTCTCTTCTCACTCTCTGTCCCCCGCCTGGGTCTCGGTCTCTCTCTCTCTCTCTCTCTCTCTCTCTCTCTCTCTCTCACACACACACACACACACACACACACACACACACACACACACACACACAAACACACTCACACCCACACACACACAACCCACAGCACGTCTCACGGCCCAGCAGACACAGCCTACAGCAGGCAAGGGACCCAAGGTTCCACTGGAGTCCCAGCCCACCGCTAGGCACAAACACACTCCCCGGAACGGAACGCGCCCAGCCCGGCTCGCCAGCAACTTGGAACCACGCGCGGAGCCTCAGCTGCTCCCCCGTTACTCCGGGGCGTTTCTCGGGGCAACTCTGCACAAGGTGCCTTGACTGTTCCTCTCCCCTTCGCTGCCACCCGGCCAGCAGACTGGCTGCTGCGCCCCGCCACCGGGCGGGCGGGTGCGCCCCGGGGACGTGAGCCGGACCCCGCCGAGGGGATCCAAGTCCCCACGGTGCCGAGCCTCGCCACGGGCCACTTCCCCGGGAGTCGCCCGAGCGTGCAGGTGGCCGGGGACCGCGCGCGCCTGTCACTCCGGGCGGGAGTTCGGACTCCTGCCGAGCGCACCAAGTTCTCCGAGTGAGTCAACCGGGAGAGTGTGGACGCGTCTGGACTTGGGGGTGTCCCCGAGCCCCAGCCTCCGGGGCGACGAGACCTGAGACTCGGGAATGGGTGGCACCCGGGTGCTCCGGGTCCCCCGCGCGCACCTACCAGATGAAGTCGGTGCAGTGGCTGCAGAAGGTGGGCTGCTTGAAGAAGCGGGCGATGAATTTGTGGTCCTTCACCTCGTGCACGTTCTTCTGCCTCAGCGCCCCTTTGCGGGCGAAGCGGTTGGCCACGTCCTGAGACGCCGTGGAGTCGTTGGCCGGGTAGACGTCAGCCATGGTCCCCCCCAACCACCTCTTGCCTCCGCCGGGGAGCAGCAGCCGGGGAGGCCGGGTGGGCGGGGGCGGCGGGCGCGGGCCGGGGCCGAGGTGGCCGAGAGGCGGCGGAGGAGGTGGCGGAGGAGCCCGGCGTCTGGGGAGAGTCCGGCGGGAGCTGCGCTGCGCTGCGCTGCGCGGAGCTGGGTAGCTGCAGACGCTGGCCCGCAGGCTCGCTCGCTCGCTGGCCCCGCGCTCACTGACAGCCCGCCCACTGCGCATGCCCGGAGAGCGAGCGCGCGCGGGCTGGGGCGGGGGCGCGCAGGGCGCGAGCGCGCGCGAAGAGTGCCAAGGGGCTGCTACGCTGCTGCACCCCGCGGGACGCGGGCGGCCAGGCTCCAGCCCTGCTAGGCAAGGCGATGAGGGCGGCGTCCTGGGGAGCTGGGGAGAGGAGGCGGAACCGGGAGGGGCGGATCCGCTCTCCTCCACTGCCTTTTTTCTTTTCCTCCTTTTTCCTCCGCGCAGGGCGCGAGCGCGCGCGAAGAGTGCCAAGGGGCTGCTACGCTGCTGCACCCCGCGGGACGCGGGCGGCCAGGCTCCAGCCCTGCTAGGCAAGGCGATGAGGGCGGCGTCCTGGGGAGCTGGGGAGAGGAGGCGGAACCGGGAGGGGCGGATCCGCTCTCCTCCACTGCCTTTTTTCTTTTCCTCCTTTTTCCTCCCCTTCCTCCTCCCGCTCTCCTCCCTCTTTATTACCCTCCTCTTCTTCCGCTCGTCTCGCCCAGCCTCCTCCTCTCCGTACCTTCCTCCTCCCACTTTCCGCTCCCTATTCTCTCTTTCCCGTTTCTGGGATGGAAGTTCTCCCCCGCCCCGAACCCCGTGCCACCCTCCTTAGCAGGTGCAGAGGTGGCCCCTTCCCCCCAAGCCTTCAGGTTTCACATCAGCCTCTATCAGTTTGACCTTTCACCTGGCTAAAATGGCACTCTAATCTTTTGAGCCCCTAAAATGCCCAAGTCCTATCAGGCACGCCTTGTATAGAGGACAGGAAAAAGGGAACGGTTTTAAGTAACTGAGGAGGGGCCTTCGGTCTTTGACCTGCAGTTCACCTGCATACTGTGTAGGTCCAAGGACAGACTGGTATCACCACTCCGGATGCTTCGGGGACTTTGTCCTGGTTTGTGAACTCTGTATTCATTGGCTATGAGAGCTAGGGTGCTGATGATGATCAGGCCATCTTGGTTTTACATGTCCAGGACCTTAATTTAGAAATCATTTTGCATCCTAAGCTAATTGCTGCAATACTGGCAGGTGTAGAGTTCGGCCAGAACATTTGTAAATTACCAAGTAAAACTGCGTGTGAGAGAGTAGCTGGCTTGGATATGCAAAGAATGCACGTGGGGCTGGACCGGAGAGCGCCTCCTGAATATTTATTAGGTCTGCCTGGGTGTTTCTAAAGCCCTGGAGGGAAGCAACCATCTCCCCGAAGTTCATTATTGGCGGTTGAAACCCGGTCTCACTCTGTAAAGCAGGCTGTCTCGGCCTCCTGCATGCTGGGATTACAGGGCTGAGCCATCATACCAGGCTTCATGGCTGTTTAGTGTTATTGCCAAATTCACTAGTTCACAAAATGACTTCATGATCTAAAGCCATCAAGAAAGAAAGCATTTTAAATTGGGCATGGTAGTACCATCCTGTAATCCTAGGATGATAAGAGGCTTAAGGTCATTTTTGGCTACATGGGGAGTTCAAGGTCAACCTTGGCTACATGAGACCCTGTCTCAAAAAAAAAAAAACAACAAAAAGCAAAATTCTAGCCGCTGCATTGTAACATCCTCCAAAGGATTAGAAACAAGAGTTTAATTTCTCAAATTTTGAAAAGACTTTTCTAAGGTGCTAGCTTATAGCATGCCCCATAAACCATATAGGGCTATTATTTTTTTTTTTTTTGAGATTTGCCTAATTGTGATGCTTAATGAAAGGATAGCTTTTACATTTTAACAAGTGCTCGTTACTGATTGGCCATCGATGGAGGCCCTTGGCTGACCCACTTACACTCTGTTGAGTCAGTCTTTGTTGGTGCTTCAAGAGACTGCACCTGCTTGGTGATATTCTATCTGGTCAGACATTTCACACTCACTGCAGCCATCCCAGACCAAAGAGGCAAAAAGGGAAGAGGTAGCAAAGGAATGAAGAGCAAAGCATGCCGGGAAAGTAGCTCAAATTCTCCAGAAAACACTATGAGCATCTCAAGCTATGATTATTTTCTACTGAATAATTGTAACTGAAGTTTGTGGGATGAAACCACAACATCTTCACCACCCAGAGCCATGTTTATCTAAGATGGAGTCCTCAGCTGTTTAATAAAATCAAGCTTCTTTCTGTTTCCCTGAGGCATTCTCTGGTGGAGAGGTAGAGAGAAGTGGCTGGTGGGATTGCTGATGCATCCTTGAGTAAAGTAATAGGGAAGACAGACTGGGCTTAGCCTGGCATCTTCTGTGAACTGACCAGATGGGAGGGAAGTGACTGCTTTTTAACTGTGAGTAGATGAGATGGAGACAACGTCCCTGGGTTGTGACTTTGCTTTCTTGCTTCAGTACTTGATGTTTCTAGTGGGTATGGGGAGAAATGACTAACTGGGAATTGGGTTGATTGATAGCTGAGTTGGGCATGAATATGCCAACTGCTTACATCTAAGCTCAGTTGGCCCAGAGAGGGTGGTGCACCTGGAGTAGAGAATTTTCAATTACTGAGCAGTATAACCCTGCAGCTAACAAGGACGGATAGAAATGATGGGCCGCCATTCATTCATGCAGGCCACCTGAAAAGGCCACATGGTGTGGCTTTAATCTTTTAATGGAAAAGATTAAAGAAGATAGAACCCCCAGTCATAGGCATCACTTATTATTTCCAACTCTGCTGTTACATGGAGGAGGTTCAGGAAAACAAAGACTGGTAGACTGAGCACAAACCTTGTCAGAAACCCCCTGTATCCCTGCCTTTGAGGAGTAAACCCAACACTCCTTGGAAAGGTGTCACCTAGACCAGGATGATCTAGAGGTTTGGGACTGGGGTCAAAGCCAGGGTAATGTATTGGCGATTTTAAACAAGAATGGTTTACTTTAAAATGAACGGACTTGACTTTACAACTTAAAACTTGTTCTATGAAACTACTTGGTCTGTTTTCAACTAGGCCATTTTCATATTGGGCAGTAGGAATTGTTTAAGGATTTAAAAAGCTATAGAAACCTTGGGGGGAGGTTAGACAACAGATGGAATTGTCTACCAGATTTACAGTGATTAGTAGTTCTTGAAATAGAGCCAAGGGTCAGGGAACATTCTTGGGCAAGCTTCGAGAGCAGAGTAATACTTCATAGAGGTGGTGAGTTAGGACCCCAGTCACAGAGGAGCACCAAGGCTTCCATACACAGTAGAGTGAGAAACAACTAAAGTCAGGTCACATGCTCCTCAACAAGGCATGTCCCTCTGTCTGCCCAAAAGGACTGCCATTTCCTAAGTCACACAAAGGTACCTTGGGGGTTAGTGGAGGGCCTGGTAAGCATCTTAGTTATTCCAGTTGGTGTCACCTGATCTGAAAGGGCCTTCTTGGAGTCTTGCCTATTAAGTAGGCCTTCACCCAGGACCTCTCTTTCTTGCTCTCTCTCTCTCTCTCCCTCTCTCTCTCTCAGCATCACTACCACCCTATTGCTCAAAAGCCAAGACGCATTCCCATTCTTCCCTTCATCTAGCCTAGGAGGTTGTCCTGTGACTTCCACAACCTAGACAAATCTCCAGCTTGTCCATGGCCCACACTCTAATCTATGCTCCGTCGTCTCTTTTCCTGGATCACTGTAGAACTACCCAATTGATCTTCTTGCTTCTGTTCTTACACCTTACAGGCTTAAGATCCACAAGTTGTTGTCAAATGCACCTATTTATTTGTATGATCTGTATGTGTGAGTGTGTGTATTATGTATGTGAATGCATGTGTGCAGGTGCACATGCCTGTGAACACAAGGAAGCCAGAAGAGGATGTTGGGTGTCCTGCTTTACCACTCACCTCCAGGTTTCTTACTGAACCTGGAGAGAGGCTGGCAGCCAGCAAGCCCAGTGATCCTCTTGTCTCTGTCCCTCATAGCCCTGGCTTTACAGGCACCCCTGGCTTTTTACATAGGTGCCAGGAACTCAAACTCAGGTCCTCATGCTTGCACATACTCTTACCCACTGAGCCATCTTCCAGATTTCTCCCAAACGTCCTTGGTTAAGCCCACTTTATACCTTGAATAAGTGGAAAGATATCCCTTCATATATAGGAAGAAACATAGAGATGCTGATTTCCTTCTACTTAAGCTATAAATTACTTGGTCCAATAGAAAAAGGATTTTTAAAGAAAGGTACCATGATTTAAATGTGGTTTTCCCTGAAGGGCTGGTGTGCTGGAAGCTTGTTCTCTTGAGTGTGACAATGTTGAGAGGCAGCGAGACATTTAAGAGGTGAGGCTTAGCAGAAAGTAAAGATTAAGTCATAGGACCCCATCTTCAGGAAGGATTAATGTAGTTCTTCTTATAGTACTTGTAAGAGCAAGTCCTTATAAACCAAGGCTAACACATGTTCACAGTCTCTTCTGCATAAGCTGTTTCCCTTTGTATTTTTCCACCATGCTGTGACACAGCCCACAGGCTTTCACAAGATGGGGCCACACAACCGTGGACTTTTAGCTGTAAGCCAAATAAACTACCCTTCTTTATAAAGAACCTGACCTCAGGTATTTTGTTTCAGCTAAACAGAACAGACTAAGAGAGTATGCAAGCTAATTTGAAAGTCCAAATGAAGAAGCATGTAGGAATTAAATATCCTATCAGAGATTAATCAAGAAAATTAATAAGCTTCATAGAAAATAGATGTAAATATGTTGACCAAATAGTTCTCAAACAGCATCCCAAGGGGTGGGGAGATAAAGTGTTTGCCTTGCAAAATTGATGATCAAGGTTCAACCCCCAGAACCCACATTTTTAAAAAAGCCAAGCATGATGGTATGTGCTTTTAATACCAGCCCTGAGGAAAAAGAGTCAGGCAAATCCCTCGGGCTCACTGGCCAGCCATCCTAGCCTAATTGGTGAGTCACAGGCCAATGAGAGACCCTGAATCAAAAATCAAGTCGGTAACACATGCCTTTAATCCCAGCACTCAGGAGACAGAGGAAGGTGGATCTCTCTGAGATTGAGTCCAGCCTGGTCTACACAGCGAGTTCCAAGCCAGCTGGGGCTCCAGG